CCTCATAATAATCTCATCTATAAATATGCTGGAGGGGCACCTGGGTAGCTCAGTTGGTGAAACGTCCAACTCTCAATTTCGGTTCAGGTCATGATCTCACAGTTCATGGGTTTGAGCCCTGCATAAGGGCTCAGAGCTGACAGTGTGGAGGTTGCTGGAGATTCTCTCGCACTCTCTCTCTGCCCCTCCCCCATGCATGCGTGAGCTCACTCTCACTATTCTAAATACACTTAAAAAATAAGTGGACTCGGGGCGCCTGGGTGGCGCAGTCGGTTAACTGTCCGACTTCAGCCAGGTCACGATCTCGCGGTCCGTGAGTTCGAGCCCCGCGTCAGGCTCTGGGCTGATGGCTCAGAGCCTGGAGCCTGTTTCCGATTCTGTGTCTCCCTCTCTCTCTGCACCTCCCCCGTTCATGCTCTGTCTCTCTCTGTCCCAAAAAAAAATAAACGTTAAAAAAAAAAATTTAAAAAAAAAAAAAAAAAAAAAAAAAAAAAATAAGTGGACTGGAATGGACCCCAAGATCAAATGATAAACCATTAACACAGAAGACATGAAAGAAAGTATTAGGGCACGCATTTTGAGCCTCGATATAACAGTCTACAACTCCTCAATTTTAAATAAGGTGTCTGTTTAAAAGAATAGGGCTCTAATTAGACATTTAAGACTTTTTTCCTATTCAAACTCTACATATTTAGTATTTCCAAAGGATTTGGAAACAACCCTGAACATTAATTCTAGCCAAAAAATGTAGTGCTTATTTAGATGAGAAACAGTAACCTGTATCTTCAATACAGCTTGAGCTTCCTTAATTCAACATATGCTTGTTTTAAAACAATTTTTCCTGGGGCACCTGGATGGCTCAGCTGGTTGAGGGTCCAACTTTGGCTCAGGTCATGATCTCACAGTTTGTGAGTGTGAGCCCCCCATCGGGCTCTGTGGCTGACAGCTCAGAGCCTGGGGCCTGCTTCAGATTCTGTGTTTCCCTCTCTCTGCCCCTTCCCTGTTCATGCTCTGTCTCCGTCTCTCAAAAATAAATAAACATTAAAAAAAATTTTTTTTCCCTAACTTTATGTTTCACTAAACTATCAAAAAAAGGACTTTTCAGTTCTCTACAGTAATTCCTTTTTTTTTTTTAAAGTAGGTTCCAAGCCCAGCATGGAGCCCAATGTGGTACTTGAACTCACAACCCTGAAATCAAGAGTCCAACACGCAACTGACTGAGCCACGCAGGTGCCCCTACACTAATACTTCTAAACATTACTTAAAACAGCTCCTAATTTGGGTTATGGTTTATGTGCCTGACCTCTCAACTACACTGGTGAAGCAGCAACACACAATTCCTTGAGGAATGTGACAAAGTATAAGCCACAAGTTATATCTTACAGCTAATTTTAGAAGGCATCTGAGGGGATATTTAGAACAAATTTAAGTTAAAATCCATCTTAGGTTGGTATGTTGTTGATAGTCAGAAGATCAGGCCTACTGATTTAGATACTGATTAGAACCAGAATCTCTCCAAGGGGAACTAGTGCCTCTTGGGCCTGGTGGGGCCCAACAACACCTAGTAAGTTTAAAAAAAAAAAAAAAAAAAGAGGACAGAGAGACACTTTAATATCTTAAGTAATTAAAAAGATAACATACTCTAGCTCAAATCCCAGCATCCTAGCTAAACATACATTGTATGAATCAAAAGAATCCTCTTTCAAAGTCAAGAGGTGATTCTACTTAATGCAGATTAATCACCACTCTTCATATTTAAAAACCTGGTGGTATTAACACAGCAAGTTGTAGCTAAACAAGCACAGGCGCAGCTGTAGTCTTGGGAACACCGCGAAGACCTTTCAATGATTTGTAACTACCATTGCAAGTATAATAGCAAGGCTCACTCCAGAGTCACACTCTGGGTTCAGAACCAGCCTATAGTGCCTAGTAACTATACTCCTTGGACAAAATACTTAAACTTTCTATGTCTCTTTAGTCACTGGGTTGTCATGAGGAATAAGTAAAACATATAAAACTGGTGCAGAGGTAGAGGAAATAAATATTAGTAGCTACAAGTATTTGCTGAGTCTTCACTTGCTAGGCAGCGTAATAGAACCACCAGGAAAGTCATTTTCTATACTAACGATGGTAAACACATAAAGCACTGAGAACCATACTATATTCTAAACACTTTACATAACACCACTCGGTTAAGGTTCTGATTATCATTCCTTAACACTCTGCAAACTGAATTTGTTCACAGATGGGTTTCTATGCTTTTTATAGGATTTCTTCCCTCAATACAAATGGTTCTTACACCCTGATGACACGCATAAGTGCTGCCCAGTACTGCTAACCACCTGCTTTCAACAGAACAGATTAAACAGCTAACAACCTATATAGGCTCAGGTGTAACCAAAACAGACGTGATACACCTACTTTAGGAAACCTCACAACTGCACAAGTGGGGCCTTACCTTGAGTCTAAACTTTAGGATTGCGTGTGGGAGCTGAAGCTATGTGCTCTTAGTCTCAAAGACATTCTGGTTTTACAAAGACCAAATCCACACTTTAAACATCACTGAGTGGAGCTCATGTTATTCCCAGTACAACATTATTGAAAAAAAGGGGCCAGAAATAGCAAAGTTACAATATAATTTACTCATTTTTAGAATGTAAAACCTATCTTGAAAATACAATCCTTCTAGCATGAAAATAAATATTTCCCAGGTGTTTTATGATCACCTGTCATGTCAGATGTTTACCAACATTTCCTGTTATCATACATGTAAAAAGCTATAACATATTGAATGTCCCAAAAAACAACAATCTCAAGAATTCTTAAATAATCTATAACATTCAGGGCACCTGGGTAGCTCAGTAGGTTAAGCATCTGACTTCGGCTGAGGTCGTAATCCCAGTTTGTGGGTTTGGGCCCCACATCAAGCTCTCTGTAGTCAGCACAGAGCCTACTTCTGGTCCTCCAACTCCCTCTCTCTGTCTGCCCCTCCCCTGCTTGTGTGCTCCCACGCATGTGCGCGCTCTCTCTCTCTCTCTCTCTCAAAAATAAACAAACATTATGGGGTGTCTGGGTAGCTCAGTTGGTTCAATGTCTGACTTTGGCTCATGATCTCCTCGTCTGTGGGTTCAAGCCCCATGTCGGGCTCTGTGCTGACAGTTCAGAGCCTGGAGCCTGCTTTGGATTCTGTGGTCTCCCTCTCTCTCTGCCCTTCCACCACACTCTCTCTCTCAAAAATAAACATTTTTTAAAAGTTTCAAAACTAAATAAACATTAAAAAAATTACATTTAACATTCAAAATTGATACACCACTTTTTCTTTAAAAACTATTACCAACATGCCAGTATTTGAGGTTGATTTTAAGAGTGAACTCTTCAGGGGAACCTGGGTGGCCCAGTGGGCTAAGCATCTATCTGACTTTGGCTCAAGTCATGATCTCATGGTTCTTGACTTCAAGCCTCACGTCCCGGTCTGTGCAGACAGCTCAGAGCCTGGAGGCTGCTTCAGATTCCATATCTCCCTCTCTCTCTGCCCCTCCCCTGATCACACTCTGTCTCTTTGTCTCTCTCTCTCTCTCAAGCTCTCTCAAAAATAAACACCTTAAAAAAAAAACAAAAACAGTGAACTCTTTGAAAAGTTGAAGCATTAAATGTAGTGGCTTTTTTTTTTTTTTTGGCCCTCCCTGTCCAAAATTAATCTACTCAACTTAAGCAAAAGGAGTTAGAAGGCAATTACAATGCAATCAAGATTTAGAGACAAAAAAACTTTACACATACGCTCCCGAAGTTTAAACTTAACCGTATAAATGTGTGGGGACCATACCTTAATCACACAAATTTTTAACAAACATCTTATTTTAACGACAGATTACACTGCACTCTTAGTCTCTTTAACAATACCCTCTTTAGAAGTCTTCTGAAGTCCAAATTAGGATACACCAGGCATGATGCAGAGGCACTTCATTCCAGAAAAGCAACCACTTCACACTGCTAAATCTAACATGTTGTATAATTTAACATAAACACGGACACACGTTTATGTAGCTGGTTCCAACCCCAGAATCTTATCAACTCGCTCACCAAACTCAACTCGCTCATATAATCCCAACTCAAAACCTCCTGGCTAAGTGAAATTCCATTTTTCTCCTTACCACTACAGTGGTCGATTGCAACAGCACATGTGCCAAAAAAATGAGTGGTTTTACTACGCTCCCATTTTAAGCGGGCACCTACTTGCAATTAAATCTCTGCAACAAAAAAGTTCACCTGAGGCCATTCTTGCCAATTTCATGGAGGCCTAGTTTCTTCTACCTGTCTCTGTGGTCTTGCCTCAGCTATAGGATACTTCCAAAGAGGCTGGACGTGCCCCAAACACCAGCAAAGCGGACCCACTGCCAACTCTGCTTGTCACCCCAGGCAGGAAGCACAACCTAACGTGTGAGCGTTTGTAGGGCTTGTGTGTGCGCGCCGGAGGATGGGGACGCGCGGATCACAGGAGAAAGGTAGTTGAATACTTTCAACTTTAACAGAAGTTTTTTCAATGAGGAAAACAAACCAACATTCCTTCCCTTACCTCCCTCCACCTTTTCCAAGTGCAGCAACCTCCCACCCTCCGGGAGCGCACCTTCAGGGCTAAGGTTCTCAAATCACTGACGCTTCAACTAGCTCACAATTTTCAGAACGCCTCACCCTCTCCAGGGAAACCAGAGGGCGCCCTAGAATCGGGCCCACCCCGCGACGCCCCAAGGCCCTCCCCCGCAAATCTATTCCCCTCGCACCAGCCCAAGGCTCCCATTTCGGCCCCCGGGCGGGGGCAGAGAGAGATTCACCTGAGGCCGCAGGAACATCCAATAGGAAGTCCCATCGGCCCGGCAAGCCGCGCCGCTCCAGCCCCCGCGAGACCCCCTGGAAGGGTCCCGCAGCCCAGCCCGCGCGGGCGCCCGCCGTCCCCGCCTGGAGGAGGGGCTCAACGACGGCGCCTTCTCTTCTCTCAGGATTACCTCGCAGCTCGCTTCGCGCAGCGGGCTTTGTGCTTTCCTTCCTCCTTCTCCGCGGCCGCCGGGACTGCAGCGGCCGCTCGATCCGCCGCCGCCGCCTCTTAAGCGCCGCGAGGCTCCAGAGGGGAGGGCAGAAGGGGAGGGGGCGTGAGAAGGGAGGGACCTGGGCGCCAAGCCCTCTGCAGCAGGAAGCGGCGACACCTGGGTCGCGATGCCTTTGGCTCTCGCTCACAGTTTTTAAAAAAATAACTTAAACCCCCTTCCTTCCCCTCCCGCCACTCGCCCTGGCGACCGTTACCGGCGGGCCGCTCGCGCTCTGGCGGGACTGGCCAAGCGCCCCCGGTACGTCCTCTGACCACGCCCCCCCTAAGCCCCGCCCTTAGGCCCCCAAGCGCCCCTGGCTCCGCCCCCCAAAGGCTCGCCCCGCAGCCCCCAAACGCCCCTGGTCCCGCCCCTTGGGCCCCCGAGCGTCCTAGCCCCGCCCCTCGGAATCACAGGATGTTCTGGGGCCCGCCTCCTTAGGGCCCCGCCCCTCGCGGCCCCTACGGCCCCTCTCGAGCCTTGGCTCCGCCCGCTGCGGCCCCCTCCCCGCCCTCTAGCACCACATCTGTGCAGCCGCCGCCGCCAGGACCTACCGGGCGGCTGGGCCTCTCGGAGGGCCTGGCGCTAGGCGGCTGCTTGGCACCTCTTCAACGTCCTCCTTTGGTTTATGCAGTTCCGATCCGTGGCGTCCCCTGAGGGTCGGAGGGGGAAACGACCCCGATACGGAAACCCGAGTACCAGGAGGAGGAGAGCCACCTCAGAAATGTTGCCCGCCCTAACCTGAGCCAGCCCTCCCCGTCCCAAGGCTGAACCGCCGCTTTCTGTCAACCTCTGCCGCCTACTCTGGCTGCTGGGTGTTGAGAGGGAGGCCACTGCTGAGGTTCGACCTCCGCACGCCCCCCATAGGAGGGGCCTAGATTTTCTCAGCATGCTTGCCGATTGGGCGCTTCCGGCCCACCCCCCACCCCCCCACGTCCACAGAGGGGCAGGGCAGGGGTTCTCTCAATCCCGCTCCACTTGGACCAGTGGAGGGTCTTCACCCCTACTCTGGCCCCTGGCCTTGTGACCTTATAAGAGCTGACATCATGGAGGGGAAACGCGAGGGAGGCAGCGCCAGCCTTGAAAATGAATTCGGGGCTGGGTAAACTTTTGCAACGTGCAGTAGCAGGGATGTGGATCCATCCACAGGTGACACTGAGCCCCCCAACCCCATCGCCCAGACAGGTTTCTCACCTTAAGCTATTCTCGAGACAGACCTCCCAGGAATGTGTATCTTTTTCTGCCACCTACGACTGGCACATCCCTCCCTCACACGTGTCCTCCACGGGCACGAATCCACTCACAAGCACACCCCTCCAAGCGCCATTCTGGTTATTCATGGTCCCTTGAGTCAACCCCACCCTACCAAGCAGAACAAACTTCATTCCCCACCCTTATCTCCCTTGGTTTCCAAGACACTGGCGACAGTCCATTTCATTTCCTTTCTCCTCTGCAGACTCTTCTCTTCCCCCTCAAATACTTCATGCCATCCCCCTCATCTTCATCCCCTCCCTCTTCCCAAAAAATGTGCTAATTAAAATGTAGTTTCCTCTTCCCACATATGAAGTGTGGAAAATGAATCTTGTGTTGGCACAAACTGTGATTCATTTATCCTCATTTTCTCTCTCCACTGGACTAAGGCTATAGAAATTTCAGTCTACCACCATCTCCCATCTGCTCAAAATCTAACCATGCCTTATGATTTTTAAATACCCCTAAAGGATCATGGGGAAGGCTTCCTAACTTTGGGGAGAAAATATTTAGAAAACGCTCAGCCTGTCATTTTATTTGGCATTTAAAAATATCTGCAGTATTTGAGAGAGAGATTGGGAGTGGCTGGATGTTTTCTCGCATTTATAAAGCAAAAAATGAAAAGCTTTTGCATGCATCAAGGTTAGCCTTTTAATAAACAGCAAAAAAAAAAAAAAGTATGTTAACAGCACTTATCAGACAATAGTCTCCAGTATATACAGCATTTGCCAGTCACAAATCTAGACACCCCCCTCCCCCCGCAAAGGAAGACAAATTAACATAATCCATTTCAAGCATGTCTGATGAGCAATCTTTTCCAGGATCATTCCCTTTCCCACAGTTTCTGGACAGAACGGATAAAAGATCGGCTCACCTGCTGAAGATGCAAGGCTTTCTTGCGTCCAGGGTAGTAGACGTGTGTGTCTTCTGTTCTGTAGGTGTGGATTCTGCAGTGCTGCACAGAAACCCACTGCAGCCACAGACCGGCAGCGGCAGCGGCAGTGGCGGCGGCGGCGGCGGCGGCGGCAGCAGCAGCAGCAGCAGCAGCTTCTCCCAATGCTGAGTAGTAAAGTGTGTGACTTAGCAGAGACTCCCCAGATACCATTAGGCGCTTACTTATAAAAGAGGAGGCGGAATCTTTCTTAAAGGAATGGGTTTTGTTTCTCCTCTCTACTATTGCTTCATAACAAGCAGAAGCAGGGACTTTTTGGGACTGAGTAAAGCAGTGCAGCTGTGGGAGGTCAAGGTTAAAATTAACTGGACTGATTTAGTATGAATCAATGAATTGCTGGAAGCACACATTAGTTTTAAAGAGCCCTAGTAACTTCAAACATCGGGGTCCATGGCAAAAATAAAGTGGTGCGCCTGAAAACTGGTTAGTATTTTGTGCTAATATTTAATTTACAATCATTGCGCTAAAATGATAACTGAATAAAAGGAAGTTACTAGCATTTAACACAAGTATGCCGAAAAGAATAATAAAATGAAACTCGTTTATGTGACTGGGAGCAATGGAGTCAAGCCTTCTAACACTTATAAGGATACCTGGAATTTCAGTGAATGTTGCTATTAGAAAACATTATTGACAGATTTCAGTGTGTATTCATGTTATAAAAAAAAATCACAGTATCATTTATAAAAATACTGAAAAATATATCTAAAATAATTCTGGACCATAATAGCAAAGCACTGTTATTACAGTGGCAATTCAAAAGTCAGCAAAATTAAGAAACTCATAGGTAGATTAACTTACTTTAAATGCATGTGAATCTACTATTTAGACTATTAAAATATGATGCGCCCATACAGGATGAACTTGATAGTCTACATTATGACTTTAAATTTTATTCAATAATTAATATGCCTTGATTTAAGCATGGAACAGCGGTGATCATTTTCTTCATAAGTAAATGTAGAGGTGTGGTTCATAATGTGAATAGAGAAAAATATGGAAAATGTTTTGCAATTGATTTTCTTTTCAGGGCCTTTGCTGGGTGCATATGTGATCTTGAGGTAATAAGTAATCTTATTTGATCCTTTGTTCCCTATTTTGTAAAATGAGGAAGTTGGGTTGAAATTTTCCCTTAGCATTCCAAAATACAATGATTTTATGACATTTATATGCTTATATTTTTTGTTAATTTAATGCAAGTGTGTCTCATTCTAAATTACTCTTCATGAAAACTTGGATTAAAAATAAATCTTTATTTTAAATGTATAACCAGAGTTTGTTATTTATTGCCATTTGGGGAATTATTTTGCAAATCAAATAATCATTATTGTAAAATGAATAAACTTAATTTTATCTGACTTAAGATTTTGTATCTAACTATGACGAATTTTCCTGAAGCAGGACCCTACTGTATTGCTAAGTATATTGAGTGGAGTACATAATTTTTGTTTAATAATAACGAAAACATCTAAAAACTAAGCATCACTGGATGGTAGAGTTGGAACAGAGTTTAGAGCTCACTGACTCGAATCCTGAAATTGTATAAATGGAAAAAATGGAAACCCAGAGAAGCTAAATGGGGACAGAGCTGGGAGTTACTCTGAGTCTCCACTCTTCACATACACACAAGGCAAATAAACAGCACATATGGACATACACACACTTTCACATACCCACAAAGAGGGCTGAGCTGGACCCGGCACAACAAAAATCAGTAGTTTCATTCAGTGACACTATTTACGTACATTTAGTATAAACTAAGGAATACCAAACAAGTACTTACAATGTGTGTAATATTAGCACAAAATTTGCCTTTGGATTTACACTAGAAAGTGAAGGAATTTGTCCAGGAAAATGCTTTTTTCAAAAAGTGACTTCCAGGGCACCCGCATGGCCTAATCAGTTAGACAGTTGGGCCTCCCACTTTGGCTCAGGTCATGATCTCAGGGTTCGTGAGTTCAAGCCCCACGTCGGACTCTGTGCTGACAGCTCAGAACCTGGAGCCTGCTTGGGATTTGTCTCTCTCTGCCCCTCCCCTGATCTCTCTCTGTCTCTGTCTCTCTCTCAACAATAGATAAACATATAAATAAAGAAATAAAGTGACTTCCAAGGAAACACTCATTAGCAAACTCTTGGCTTATCTTCCACTCAAATGACAGGGCCTTCGATTCTGTTGGTTGTTTTCCTTGTGCCCACTGGTGCCTCTGTTCCCTTTTGTCTACATCCTTAAGCATGTCTGCCAAGAGGAAAAGTTTGTTAAGGAGCCAGGCAGGGGAAAGTATTGTAGACTTAATTCTGGCCTTCAGAGATGCTTTTTGGAAGTCATTTTTTGTGCTAGATACTAACATTTTCCCTTAAATCCTGATCTAGTGTTCCTGGTAAAGAACCTGACACCAACCTAAGCCTACTCTCCCTAGTTTCAAGGGGTCATTATAATTAGTCTGTGTTATATTAGATGACATAGCAAACTTGGTGTTATGTGTATCTGGCAGGACAATTTATCACCTTGACTTAAAAAAAATAATGCTTCCTACAGGGAGAGAATTAAAGGAAATTAGTTGCCCAATTTCTTCATCTGTTTTGGTTTATCTTGCTCTTCTGCAAGGAAGGCATTTCGTCTACCAGGTGGTAATAGGCAGTGAATAAAATGGCAATTATCTTCATAATTCATCCCCCCCCCATTAAATACATTTCTTTGTATCATCCCCAAAGTGCTGAGTACAGTCTCTTATATAAAGGCACTTAATAGATACTTTAAAAAATGAATACGCGAATTAATGAATGAATAGCCCCCAAAATATCCAGAAACTGATTACAAAGTGTTTCTGTTTGTTTGTAATTTGCATTGTCTGAAACAACTGACTCTATTCTCTACCTCCCTTTTCTAACACAGTCATGATCTAAGAGAAACAATCTCCTTTCTGTAGAGCTCTTTAGGCATGCCTGATTTGTATTCTCCAATTAAATTGTAGCTGCAAATCTCCACATGAACTCTGGGTAGATCGAGCCGTAG